GCTGGAAGCTATCACAGGTTAGGCGGCCTTCTAGGCTGGACATTTGGGCTTACAATGCTTGTGGGGGCTGTACCCACCCACCAACCCTCCCCCACCCCCAACCCACCCCACCCGCCAAAAAAAACATCTCCCAAAGCTAACCAATGTCGGAGCCATCCTGCCCTTGTCGGACAAGGAATCAATGATACTTCGGACAAGGACTTAAGGATACTTGGCCCAGGAGGATTCTGTCATGGTTATTCTTGAGGCATACTCTGCTGGATCGGGGTCAGCGTGCCAGGCAAGCTCGGTCTCTACTGGCTTCTTGGGGGCTCAGCTCGGCGGGCTTCTCTGCGAGTGGGAACTTTAGGGATACTGGATGGGACTCTCTGGATTCTCTGCCGGTCGGCACTCCAAGGACCAGGCAAGGAGACCGGGCGGGACACCCGGCGGAGCACGGTTGATTTAGAACCTAACAACCCCACGCCGAGAATGAAGAACAACCCGAAATTTGGCAGAAGAACACACACATGCGTCAACGTCCCGCAGTCCTACTACCCGTATTCCCCTGCGTTTGTGCTTTCTTTTTGCCTCCAGATCGCCGCGAATACTGCTCGAAGCGCCAAGCACTCACCAGTTCCGCCAGCCACCCTTGTATCCGCCGCCCTTGTAGCCATCGCCCTTGTAGCCATCGCCCTGGCGGGAGGGGCATCCATTCTCTTCAATCCCTTCCGGCCAAGCTCTGAAGCGCGGATGCTCCGCAGCATGAAACGCCTAGACCAAAGAAAAAACACGCACACACCCATTTACATGCATACATGGGAATACTCCCGAATGCACATACATACACATTCCTGCACATACGTACATACATTCACATGCATGCGCACACTCACAGAGAGACACACATACACTGCATAAATTACATACATTACATACAGTACATACATTACGTACATTACATACATTACATACATTACATACATTACATACATTACATACATTACATACATTACATACATTACATACATTACATACATTACATACATTACATGCATTACATACATTGCTAACACGACATACATTATGTACGTTACATACAGTACATACTTTACCTACGTTACATACATTACATACATTGCTAACACGACATACGTTATGGACATTACATACAGTACATACTTTACCTACGTTACATACATTTCATACATTGCACTCATTACATCTATTACATACATTACATACATTACATACATTACATACATTACATACATTACAGACATTACAGACATTACAGACATTACATACATTACATACATTACATACATTACATACATTACATACATTACATACATTACATACATTACATACATTACATACATTACATACATTACAGACATTACAGACATTACAGACATTACATACATTACATACATTACATACACTACATTCATTACATACATTACATACATTACATACAATACAGACATTACATACAGTACATACTTTACATACTTTGCATACATTTCATACATTTCATACATTTCATACATTACATACATTACATTCAGTACATAGATTACATACATTACATACAGTACATACATTACATACATGACATACGTGGCATACATTACAGATACTACATACGTTCCATACAATGCATACACTGCATTCATTACATACCTTCAGAACTACATGCATGAACTTCTACGCATTTTAAAATTGAGACCAGCACGTGGTACTTTTCACCTACCCCACCTGGCTATTGGCACCGCGTCTTTGCGAGACGACGTACAACGAGGCACTTAGTTGTCCCATGTCGGGCGTAGAAAAACTTGGCTAGATCGGGCACAAAATACACTGCAAAGGATATGGACAAGTTTACCGTCCACCTTAGCTTCGAAAGAAACAGGAATGGACCTCCCAGTGCTGATACGGCGGCCGCTGCTGCCCGCCAAAAGGCGACATCGGCCGCGTCTGGCCGTGGTTTCGTGGTTTAGGACTTAGGCTGCAGATTGGTGTCATCAAGCGTCTCCTCAGGACTTCGTCGTGAGCGCATTTTCTCAAGTCTTGGGTCTGCAGACACCACATCTTTCCAGCTTTCTTGGGTCACAGGTCCTGCCCCTTGAACTCTTGGCTGTAGGATTGAATAACAAGACTCTGAAGTCAAGAAACCTGCGTAGCTCATCAAGAACTTGGACACTGCACAGGCCTTTGTGCTGACACCTCAAAGGATCACTGCCCAAGCCAAAACCAACAGTTTCCCCGCGCCACCACCAAAGTCCTGGACTGTCCTGGCCTGATATGGGGCCTGTTGCTGCGGCCATTGTGGTCTGATCTGCTGGGCCTGAGCCTCACTGGAAGTGGGCTGGCCAGGTGGCTCTGCAGAAGCGAGGGCTGACAACACAATCGGCTAAGGCTCGCACGAAAAACTTTGGCTGCGGTGTTGCCGTGGCCTGCCATGGTCGGGCCAGAGTCCCCCGAACACGATGGGAGGTCGCCATGCAACTTGTGCAACCTGCCTGTCGGGCCCTTGTCTGGGCCGACGATCACGAACATCCAAGACCCAATATGAGAACCAAGACTCTTGGAACGTCTACTCTGAAGCCGTCCTACGTCTTAGTCTGCATTCATCACCAAACGTCTGAAGCGTAAAAGTGTAAGGTATGCAGTGCTGCCGGTTTCGACCCTTCCAGCAAAGAGACTGAAGGAGTGAAGAGATCCAACCAAGGGGGGCTAAACCCTGGCTTGAAAAACCCTCCACCTGTCCGGCAGTCACGATCTTCAGCTTCGCAGAGTCGTCGCCCATGTCAATACGCCGGTTCCGATCCCTTCGGCTCTCCTGGCTACCCCTAAACTACCCTAAACCCTAAACCCTAAACCCTAAACCCGGACCCTTACAGGGGTCCCTCCTTTAGGCAAGGCTGGGGGCAAGCTGAGGGTATCCCTTCCAAGATTTGGACCAGGCTCTTACTGTAATTCTTCAAGGTGCTTTCAGAACAAGACTTACCTTGGCCAAGGTATCCAAGAGTCAATGGAAGGGTGAGGTTGAGGGTAATATTAATGATGAAAAAACACTAGTGGTAGCATTAATGCGAATACGATTAAGAAGAGGTCTAGTTGAAATTCTTAAAATCAGGGTCCGGCTTCTGCATGCTTCGGCTTCTCGCACCTCCGTCAGCATGACGAAGAGGTTCGTCGACTCGAGGTCGTCTGGCAGCTGCGGCTCTAACACCTGAAGGGCTTTTAGGCTTTAGGGTTTAGGGTTGAGGGTTTAGGGTTTAGGGGACCCTCCAACTCGTGAGCTGAGCGATAGCTTCTGAGGGTCGCAGGGCCCCTTTCACGGAGTGATGGCTGCCTTCAGCCTCAATCCACACCATCTCGGAGCTTGCATGCGACAGTTCTCACACGTACATGTAGTCTCCAGGAAAGAGAATCGCCTGACCTCGACTTGGACGTTTTGCGGCCGGCACTCTGACAGCTGTACGTCAGTTCAGTCTCTTTGGCATGGCCAATTGACATGAGCAGGGGCGGAGGGAGGGGAGGGTAGGGGGGGTCTTGTAATGGACAGCAACCCTAAAGCTGAAACAATAAACAATAAACAATAAACAATAAACTCCCATACACATTGAGACTAAGCCCATGCCTTGCTCTTGCCCATGATGAGCACGGTGTCGGCGACAAGGCCCACCAGCTCCTCACTTCTTGCTCGAACTTAGGGGTGGGTTTCGGGGACTGAACGACCAGGCTTCTCTGGGTCATCTTCCAAAGATGCTGCACCGCACCAGCTGCCCTTTTTACTGTGGAGTCCCAGAATGTCGAGAGCAACAGACCACTTCAACGGATGCATTATGCAGACGCTTTCTTGAGCGATCCCATATCAGTGGTCACGCAGCCAACAGCCAGCCTTGCATGCCCGCAAGAAGCGGAAATCATGATACAGCGACCACTACACCCACTACACCAATGCACCAATTTTAAGCTGAGAACTGAGAACGCGGAAAGCAATCTCATTCGTGAGCAGGCGGATTTATAAAGTGGCGCAGATGGCTGCTTGAAATGTCTCGGCCGCACCTACGTAGCCGACGCTGTAGGGCAGCGGTCAGGGCAACAGGCTCTCAGCTGGGGCGCAGGATGCCGCGCTGCTCTCTTGGCTTGCAGGATGCACCCTTGAACACCGCCAGAGGGACAGCTTGAAAATCACTGGGCAACTGCGAGGGCCACCCACAAAAAATTGTTCAATAAAGATGTGAGACTACACGAATGTTCGAGCAAGACGTATCAATGGCCACTCAGCTAACAGCAACCCATACATGCCGTAAGCAGCTGGAACCATGAGACACATATGGTAACCACTACGCAAGTTGGTGGCATCCGCTTGCAACAACGAGTCACTGAGAACATTCTTAATAAAGCAGAGTCCAAAGTGACGCATGTGACGGCTTGAAATCGCTGGCAATCGCGCAAATCAGCGTAAAAGGTCGATCACCGGGCAATCACGAAAGATCTTGAAGAGCACCACATGCAGTAGACCGTATTCTTTTGGAATGAAAAGCGTGAGCGATCTGCTGCTAGAAGCCCGAGATCACGGCGCCAAGGGTTTGTTTCAACAGAATGTGCCTTGGCTGCATGGCAAGAAGAACTCCGCTTCGGTGTCGCACACACCTCCTGCACTAACCTGCGCCCACTGCAACATGCAAACCGCAAAGCTACCTCTGTTGTGATGGCTGCAACCAAACCCTCGACAGCTGCGCAACGTTGGTCAAAATGATTTTTCTAGGTTTCTGTTCTTTAGGGCGCCGGGTGCACAGCTCAGGGAGGACTCGGGCGACCTGCCCCCTCCCCTGCCCAACAAAAAAAAGGATGTATTCTCTGCAGGATTCTCTGAACTCCGGGAAACAGGCCAGGAGACTGGTTCGGACACTGGGCGAGGAGACAAGGAGCATGGTTGACTTAGAAGACACACAAGAGCCTTTCTGCTAAAATCGCAAACTTGACAGTGAATCCTGACAGGATTCAATCGTTCCTGCCGCGGCTGGCTCCAGGACATGAGCTGCATCACAACGGCCAAGGCCTCGGGCAAACGTCCGCGTTCGGGTTTGGGGGCTCGGCGTCAAGGGCTCAAATGTGTCTCGAACTTTCCACAACTGCAAGTACCATCCCGTCAAGAAGACCAAGGCACCACCGTTGTGAGCACTGACAGCAGCTTCAACATCACCGCACCAGTGATCTTCATGCCACTTACCCGTATACCAGCATCACTGAGCTGAAGGTGTAGAACAAGCCCTTGCCGCTCTGCCATTGGCAGGGACGATGTCAGAGACAGCACGTGGTTGGCAAAGGAAGCAGCGCATTCACACTGCTGTGTAACCTTGACCGCAGAGTGCCAAACATAGAGGGCGAGTGCAAGGTTCGTCGCGGCTGAGGAAAGAGAAGGGACCACCCAGTGAAACCCGCATCCCAGCGTCAGGCCTTCTGCGTCAAGCAGAAGCTGCCCGAGTGCAGGAACGGCTTCAAGAACCGCAAAGGCCATGATAAATATGTACACTGCACCAGTCAGCCTGGAAATGGTGCTCGCGAAGGCCTTGGAGATTTACACGCGCCTGTGAATGTACATGCTTGGGCTAGTGCAAAGTTCAAAAAGAAACGCCGCCACGGTCCTGACCGCCGGCTCTATGCTGCATTATGCTGCCCAGGCTCAGCCACACATGTCCATGTTCTTTCTGCCTTGCCGATTCCGTTCGTAGAGTTCCCGCAAACCCTTGCAAAGAAGTCCACATAGTGCATGAGGCAACTGTTGAGGTGCACTGTGCAATGCGCTAACCCGGCGGTGAAAAGACCTCCGGCACACTCCACACACATGGAAAACAGACCACCACTAGGATCGCAATGGGCTGAAAGCCTGTAAGAGGCGGCAGCGTGGAGGAAGTGCAGAAGCAGGTAAGCCAGGATCACGGCGAAACTCGACTTCTGGCTCTCCATCCACGGCTCCATGAAGTCATCGCCATCTGCGCTGCGGATCTGCTTTGTCACGAGCTCCGCGAGGCCGCGGCGGTGCGCTTGCGCGATCAGGGGAAGTGCACAGGTGGACTGGAAAGCCCTGACTGTGCACTCCAAGCTACTGAAACCATACCTTTCATGGGAGAGCATCTTGGCCCAGCAGCTCGCAGCTCGGATCGAAGCGAGGCAAAGCACCGCAATCCTGGCCAGTCTCGTGTGCGAACCCCTCGTAACTGGCCTGAGGCCCCTAAAAACACTGGCAGAAGCCTTGGAAGGGAGAGATTGGAGGCCTTCTGGGCTGTGGGGAATCCCCTGAGAAGCTGACAAGTTCCATGATGTGTGGAAGGACGAGCGCAACACTGACTCATGCCACTCTTATGCAGCCTACCGCACGGCACTTATGCCTTTTTGAGATCATAAAGGAACAGGCCTGCTAAGCAGCCCACAGGAATCCCAGCCAAGCCACAGGAGCAGCGTCTGACAGCGGCCAGGCTTCGGTGAGATGCCAGCCAACAGGAGGAGTCCAGAAGACAGACGGCTGGTGAAGCAGTCGGGGCAGCTGCGTTGCTCATGGCCCGGTATCGGCACCGTCACGTGATCTGCAACTTTGTCGAGGCAGCGTGCATCGATCGAGTCTCTCACCTGAGTTGGAAGATCTACTCTTGACTTCTAGTATCATGGAGCTCGTGGCCAACAAAAGCTGCCTCCGAGACTTCACCGCTGCCATGTTTTTGCTGCTCTCTACTGCAGACAACCGCCCATGTCTCCCTGACCATCTTTGGGGGCCTCCTGCATGCAGGTGGATTGTGCCATCCAGGCCTGGCAGCTTGAGGGGCTGCGGGCTTGGGGCCTACACAACTTGCACAGAAAAGGACAAAGACCTGATTCGAGACCTAACTTGTGGGGGGGGCGGCAAGAACGAAAGCTAGTGCAGTTGCTCAAGTTCCCACCCGGGATAACAGCATTGACCGAACAGGCAAGTGTGAGACCTGCCCTTGACTCCCAGTGTGCGGCTGGTCTACTCCTCGCCCATCACCCGTATCCCACCGCAGAGCAAGAAACCCCAGAGTCTCCCCAAACAATGCTTGGAGTGCCTTGCAACCACCCCGAAGGCTAAGCATCAATTTTCAGGCCGACGAGGTACCGGTCAAGGACCTCTAAAACGTAGGGCTTGGCCACCGAATCCCGGTGGGGTCTAGCCCCAACTTGCACGCACCCCAGCTGGGCCCTTTCCCCACACCCCTGTTGTTCAACCTTACGGTTGGTAAGAAACTCGCTGGCTTTCGTGGGAGAGACTACCATTAGTCTTTGCAGCTCGACAGGCTATGGAAAACTGGAGGCCTTCACGTGACGGCGAGCGACGCACTCGCTCAGGATCGTGCGCTCTGCTTGCTGGAGCAGTTTCTCGGCAGTTGCCACATTATCCTGAACAGAGCAACGGAAAGAGAACTCATCAAACAGGCTGGCGCATTCCGACCCATCTACCCAATGAACTGAAGCTACGTTCAATTTGTCTTTGCGTAGAAGGTAATAAATTTGTGTTTGTTGTCGTGCTGCTATTTCTTTAACGTTGCAACCACTCTTGGACCTTGTCGCCAACCCCAGAACAAGTTGAACCAGGCGGCGCTTGATTGCATAGACTCTGGGGTCAGCCTTGGATGATGAATTTGGCAGTCTCTGCGCGTGCTCTCGGCGTTTAAGCCTTAGCGCACCTTCTTCACCCACGCCCTTGCAAGTACACCAGGCCAGGCCAATTGCTGGAAGCCGGTCGAACAGATTCGAGCAGATAAAGACCAAGCAGACAAGACCGCATAAAGCAGACGAGCCGCTGTCTGCCCAGCACCTCCGGCAACTGTCTTGGCAACATGATGATCGAGTCCATGCTGTCGACGCTTTGGTTGGTACAATCGCCTCGGTTGCAGTGTCTCGAGGAGGCTCGGCATCGGCCCTCCGTGGGACATGATGCGCAAGCAACTCAAACATTTGTTGTCAAACACAAAACAAGAAGTTTTGCGCGCAGGAACTTGAAATCGTTACTGCACATGTGACAAAGGCTGACATCGTCCTGTCTTTTTACCAAGGTACTCTCGCTCCGAGGGGCAGGGATCGGAATCATGCTCGTTCTAGGCGTGCGCGGGACTCTGTCACACGCTTGGGCCAGTGAAACTGCAAACGTGCCGAAGCAACGTGCACTTTCAAACATGTCCAGTGCCGCTGATATCCGATGCACCAGTTGCTTGTATGGACTTGAACGTCTCGTTGCAGCTCCTCGCAACTATCCACTCCGAAGAACTTGATGTTGAGAGCCTGCTTTCAAGCGGTCTATGCTGACCCTAGGCAGGCCGCCCAGCAGTGCTCTCCAAAAACATCTATATACTTCACACCTGAGCCTGCTCTCTCCACCCCACTTGGAGAAGTTCGCATGATCAAGATGCCGCAGCCTTTTTGTAGTACTTCTGGTAGTAGAAAGCGAGATGCTCGACAGGCACGGCAACCTCAGGACGCTGCGTGCATGGCCTTCATGACCGGCTAGCCTTTGACAAACACAATAACTGTTTGCTGCAGTCGCATGAGCACATGCTCAGTATTCTAGCAAAGTGTAGTCGTGTACGGGCAGCCTCACTGTGTAGAAGCCAACATGTCGCAACGTGCGCAGCGCCATGGAGCGCTGACCAGCGAGCACAGCATTTCTTTGCTGTCTCGCCAAGATCCGCTACAGGCGCGAAGCTCGCCGAAAAACACCGGATCATTTTGGCACGTAGAAAAATATTCTGCAGCCCCCGCAGGGCGACGAAGGCTGGACGGCGAAAGTGACTGCGGATTCCACGCCGGTTGGTTCTATTCGGAGCGATGCGCGTACGTGACCGGCATGCCTCCACAGACAGACCCAAAAGGGACACAACAGGCCGGTGTCGAGAACGGATCGATGAAGGCCAACGTGCACAAAGCCGAAACTTCCAAACCTACTGAGCCCTGAAATGCCCTGAACTTTCCAAAGCACAAAAACGAGAATCCCCGAGGCGGGCACACGGCCAGGATCATGAGAGTCACGGCGGAAGGCATGGGCCATCCTCAGAGCCATCTGGAATCCCCCCCCCCTGCACAGGAGGCCTAACAAGATGGACAGTTTCACTGGAAAAGAAGCCTAAGCCGCAGGCAAGTGAAGCTCGTAGCGCAAGCCTGGGGAGCAAGCCGGCATTTCTGATTGAGAGCTGAAACAAAGCAATCAATCAAGAACGAATCAAGACTGGACCAGAGAGGTGCAAGAAAATCACTCAGCATCCAGGAGAAGGCTTAAAGTTTAGCGAAGCGGACTAAGGCAAGGGCTCATGAGAGTCCAGTCCTCGAAGGTGAAGGCGGCGAAAAGAGGCCTCGGTCTTTGCTGTGGACGGCGTGCTCAAACCCGCTGACACTGCTTGAGAAGCACGGACTGGGTTTCCATGCTGATGATGTGTATGTTTAACCAGACACAGACCGCCTTGAGGTCCTGGCTCCCCACCCCCAACATCCATCACATCCTCCACACCGAACACGTCCAGACTCTCGAAGTCCACCTGCACAGCTCAAGCGGATGAGTGGCTGCAGGGCTGCGCTTCAAGGCTTTGAATACCCGTCTCTGCAAACACGCACGAGGATGCACGATGATGCAAGATGATGCATGATGACTGAGACCTTTCCCTCGACCCCACCTTGTTGCTATCATCGAGGGCGGCCAGCACCTGGCCAGTCGCGGGCTTTGTCCCGAGACAGGCTAGCCGCGGCCCGTACATGTGAATCTCGGCTGCGACCATCTCAAGGGCTGCCGTCCACCCTCAACCCTCGACGCCTCCAATGGCAGTTCCGTCCCATCCTTCTCGGCCTGGCTCCCAAGGGCCGAAGGTTCAAAAAGGAGGTGGGGGGTGGGGGGGTGATTTCGGGGAAGTTCGGGGAGGTTCGGGGAGTGCAGGTGCATGTCATGTGCCCCTGCGCAAGAAACCGTCCCTCTTGTGCCACCTGCTCCTTGGCAGCCAGCTGCGCGTTCTTCTTTGCCTGCTTGCAGCAGAGGCTTAGGCTACATGCAGGGGCATTCAAGTCCTGGACTCTTCGACATTCCTACAGCTTCCCATTGAACCAGACGGCAGGCAGGAGTCACACAACAGAACCAGTGTCCTAACACGCTTGGGAAGGACTCATAGAGCTCAACTTCTTCGCCTCAGCCGCTTTGTGGGCATTGTGCTTGGTTTGGTAGGACTGCACCACCTGGCCAAATTGCAAGACAACGGCCTAGCAGCCTTGGGCACTTTTTCAGTCTCGGGATTTGCGAGCAAATCAGGCATGGAGAAAACGGATGTGTTGCACGAGCAAGGCTTGAAATGTCATGAAGCCTCCGGACAAGCCACTAACACGCACTTCTCCCTCTATGTTTCTACAGGGAAGAAACGCAAGAGTCTTCGAAAGTTGTAGGACTTGCTAGTCTTTCCTTCGCTGAGGATTTCATCCATGGTGGCCCCCGAATCGGTCCACTATATAGTACACCTATAAGTAAGCCTGGACGTGGCCAATGCCCTGCCTTTAAAGAGGACCGCATGGGGATCCATCTCATGGCCAAGGAGAATCTTCTGAATCGGGCACAAGAGGTCACTATCGCGTCATGACCCGAACTCTTCTTGTTCGACACATGGCCTGTATACTTTGCCAGCGCGAGGCTATCACTAGTCTGGCGCCACACTCGGATTTCGTGTGCGATTCCGGCCCAATCTCATGGCGAAGATGACAAAATGGGTTCGAAACACGATGATGGCCGCGTCAGCCTTTGACTCCTTCACCGCCCTTTTTGACAATCCCTGGTATGATACCACGCAACGCAAATCAGCTCCGCTTCTGGGCTAGGCATGGCTAGAACGGCTAAACTCAGCTGCTGGCCTTCTGCCATTCTTTCCACTTCGTGTTGAACCACTCGCCCGGCTGTAGGTCTCGGAGGGGAAACCGACTTTCAATCATACAATCATTACGAGAAACTACGAGAGATGGGGCCACTGTTCGCACATTCGCACTGAAACGGTGGCCTTCCAAACGAGATGTGAGCTTCTTCACCTGCAAGAGATTTTGTTTTGCTGGCACCACTTAAATGAGCCCAAAGCAATGGTCTGCCTAGTCAATGCACAATCTTGCTTCCACACAGGCCTGCCATGCTTCTGAACATGCATGCACCCGGCCTGAATCCATTCTTCCAGATGTTGCTTTGCCTTCTTCTCGGCGCTCCAGATGTACTGGATGTCCTCAAAATACGTCTCCTGAAAATTCAGAGCCGGGTCAAGGTGAGGCACGCCTGCACCAGACCACAAAAGAAAGACACACTTAGACCCTCAGCATATCTTAGCATCCTTTACCGCAGTGGGAAGGCCTGCTCATCTGGGAGGCTGAACTTTTGGAAGTTGGTATTCCTTGCCACGGAAGCTGATCCTCCAAAGCTCCTCCCCCTTGCACTGACACTTGTTGAATCAGTGAAGTGCTGGCCAAGCTGCAGGACATAAGCGGTCAGGTCACCCACAGGCAACCGCCGAAAGGTTAGCTTTTTCCTTTGAGTAGCGCAAGTCCACCAGCAACTGTAGGTACCCGGTCCGTGGTCCCTAACGAAATGCCGAGGGCCGCACTCCTCTGCACTGAGCTCCACGACAGGGACGTCATCCTGCCCACATGAAACGTAATCTTCGGCAGCGCTTCGCAGGACAGCACCCGAGCCTCGGGTGTCCCTTTTGCTTTGGCCTCTGCCTGCTTCACCTCGTGAATGCTCTCGCTCAAAGAGCTCAGCCCGATGAGTTCATCACTCCGAATTCAGTTTAAAGAGGCCCTACATGTGAGCTGTCCCGTGCACTGGGCCTCCTGTTTCGCCTTGAGCATCCTGTCCTGGCAACATCTCACGCTGCAGGCTTGTTTCTAGCAAACTAGGCTGGCCACCATGGCCAGAAAAGATTTGAGTTGCTCCGCTGACCGCTAGAGCTACCTTCGCACGGTTCCAGTCGCGGGCTGAGCTCCCACAAGTCAGGAGGATCCATCCCAGAATCCCCCAACAGACGGAATTATGCTTATACGGATTCGGCGTTGGTCCTGGCTGAAGTCCTTGAAGGCCGCGGGAGGCTCGCCCACTAGAACGGTGGCGATTCGCTGGTACCCACTCCAACCTCGGGCAGGCGATGGCCCCCCAGATGGCCACAAGCTCAGCAGCGCTGACATTTGGGGAGAGACATGGAGAGACCTTGAGGTTTGCCATGGTTTGCTCGCAGCTGTGAGCCAGGCGTGAGGCCAGCTCACTTCGGTCCTCCTTCAGAAGGCCAGACTTCACCTGGCACGAGGAGCACAATCAGAGTAGCTTCCAGACCTGATTTGTGGTACAGGTCATTGAGTTTGACACTGGAAAACCATCGAGTGTCGATGGCGACGGCATCGCCTACGGTGCTAATCATCGTCTTCGTCGTCGCAGCGAGGCAGGCCACGGTAGTGCAAAACAAGCCGAACAACAGCACTAGCTGCTTTAGAAACAAGCAAGCTGCTGGAAATTGAAACCACAGTCTCGCTTTCGGGTGTCAAGCCATTTCCCTTTGGAAGGAACTGGACTGCGAGCCTCTTTTTTTAACCCCAAACTTGGACACAGGTGTCACACCCGTGGCCTCCATGACTATGAAGTTCCGCGGCTGAATGGACACAAGCGCCTGGCAAGGGGATGCTTGGAGGTTCTGTGCAGTGGCCTCAAGCCAGCTTCCGATTCCTTTCTGGTAGGGGGGCGTGGTGAGGGGAAGGTGGGCACCGCGCACAAGAAAAGAGAACATTTAGCGTCACGTCTGCTGCGATCCCACCTGCAGGGTGCGGCGCATGCTGCCGTCATCCAGGGCGGAGACCCCAAAGCCCATCTGCGGTAACAGCTTTGGATAAGGGATTCGGGATACGAAGATACCCACGAACTGCAAGAACCCTGCCTCGGGCTTGTCATTGGATGCTCGTGCTGCAGCCTCAGACACTGAGCAGTGGCCCAAGGGGAGCATGCCTCTGACGTCTGCAACCGTCTGAACATGGACAGGGGACTGCATAGCCCTTGGGGCGGCTGAGCCCGCTCTGCTCGCACCATGCCAGCATGGCCCGGTCGCTCAGCTCGGTGTAACCCCTCAGCTCCAAGGGTCCAAAAAAGGTGCGCAAACTGCAGCAAAGCCATGAATCAGGCATTGTAGGTGCACACAAGGTGCACACAAGGTGCACGCAAGATCTGGCACACTCTGGGACTCCGTGCGGATGGCTTTCTAGGAACTGGTCAAGCCAGTCAAAGCCGCCCTCGTCCGGGACCGCTATGGGAAAGATCACCTGACCAAAAAAACCCTTGAAGCCTCAGCCAGGCAGGGTCCCCTGTTTGTAACCTACGCTCTGCACTCTTGTATTTGGGGCACTCCAAACCCCCAAAACCCCAAAACCCCAAAACCCCAAAACCCCTCCAGAGGGAAGGGAAGCTAATCTAGAGCCATTTCCCTCACGAGATGACCTCGCACTGTCCATCCGATGGCTTCGCGGCCGTCTTGATGCTCACATCCCGTTGTGATGCATCCTGCCAGCTGCTGTGAGGGTTGAGGGCTGAGGGTTCAGGGTTCAGGGTTCAGGGTTCAGGGTTCAGGGTTCAGGGTTTAGGGTTTAGGGTTTAGGGTTTAGGGTTGTTGGAAATCGCGCAGGAGTGCAGCAAGGGTGGGAGACTTGCTGCAAGAAGCAGCAGCGGGCTGTGCAAAAAGATGGGAGTTTGTAGCAATTTCTTGTACAGGGTCCCATGATGGGTACTCTTTATGCGAGCACCCCTTATGAGGTCCGACCCCCAAAATGGACTCTAACTCATACAAGAGCAACCCCCCAAACCCGTAGCGGACTCGACACCTTCAGGAAGCGGCACTTGAAGGGCATTGGCATCAGTGAAGCTCCAAAGTTGTAGTGCAAGGCCATGTTCCTGGCATCCGCGGTAGATGGATTAATGTCCATGAACTGTTCTTGGTATTTGAGCTTCAGTCATCTTTATGTATATACCAGTAACCTTGCTTGTGCTTGCTAATTAATACTCATGCACATGCATACCTTTTTCTTTCACAGTTGCTCATATATCGAACGATGTATCAACCGTATGTTTGACTGATGGCTGCTGTTAATTGCTGCTTCCAGTATTACTTACTCTTGGTTATGAAAATTATTCAGTATGGAGCATGGCACCTGATTATCATCATTGTCGCTACTATCATTCTATCTTCACCATCATTACTAGTATGCAAGTTATGTCTTAAGTGTTTGGCCATTGTTATCACTACTGTCATTACTACTTTTTTTGCTACGATTATCAATCTCATCATCATTATCACTATCACCATCATACTTACTGTCATTATCATTATCGGAATCGCTACTGTCAGTTCTCTCACCTCACGTCGCCAGAAATACACATCACCCCATTGTGGACGCTACATAGCGGGAATACACATCAGCGGCGGAATCACACATCAGGACACAGCAATCCCAATCACGAGGGAGACGCTAGAAAAACAAGCAACGAATCTCTATCATGCGATGTAAACCTACACTCAACTCTCCTGACTCGTTGCGGTGGCGATCAGTATGACCGAGACCCCCCCTGGCTATCATCTCCTGCTTAGACTGAAACTCTGAAAAAGGTGTAGAAACCTGCGCGGGTCCCCAATGTGGACGCCGATCGATGACAACGAGGCCGACTTCGACACATCAAGAGATATACTCTGGGGAATGCACTTCCCCAATGTGGACCCCGATCGATGCGCAAAAAAAACCGAGCGATGCGAGATAAAGCGACTCTGTGTAACGCGGGCTATCATGTTCTTAGGGTGCCCGAACAGGGGACAGCCTCAATGTGCAGAAACGCCTGCCTGAAGCTCACCGAAGGGTACAGGACCTGCACAATCGAGGACCCCACAGCTTTAGTCTTCAAAACGTCAGTAACATGGCAAGCCTCGCTCAGCTCGCTGGAACTCTGGTCCCTTGCCTTGTTTTCCTACATTCCAACACTTTGCTACTCTGTTTTGGGGGTACCCGAATAAGCTCGAATGTAGAGAAGCGCCGAGCCGGGCCTTCCCCTGCAGGTGCTCGGGAATGGCCTGGGGCGGCGCCATGCGCTGGCCGTCCTCAGGATTTCGGGGGGGGTGGGGAGGGTCAGAGGTTTAAATCTCGGGGTAGCTGCATGGCCCCTTCATGGAGGACCCCCTTCTACACCCCCACAAACCCCATGTACAGAAAAAAGCCCAAGGGCCCACAGATCAGAACCTTTTGAAAACGGATAAGGGGCCGAACTATGGCACCGTGCAGCTGCCCTTACATTAGGTGGGCTTGGGGTTCACGGTCGACTTTGTTGTGCTTCCTGCCGATTGCAACAAGCCGGGCCTTGAAGATGCTCAGCGTGTTGCCAAACCGACCTTTTTGGCGGCTTACGAAAATACGGGACCCCCATTGCCGAACCCCTAACCAGCAGGATCCCCCTAAAAAAAAAGGTCCCCAATAAGGTACCCCCCCTAACTGCGTAAACCCCGCTTTTTTGGCAAGTTGAGAATCTTTCCTACAGGCACCACTGCGCCAATAGCTGGAGGTTTCCGAAAACAGGGGGTACCCTTTTTGGGCTTTCCTATAATAAGGATTCTACTATTTCTCCTATAAGGATTATACTAGTATTTTGGGGGTACCTATTTTGGGTAAGCCCCAGCTCTTGAAACCTCCAAGAAGCAATCAGCACATGCACATCCCCTGAAAAACTCCCGCGGGGGGTCCAAGCAACAAGCTCGGCATTCGCGCAAAGATCTGCGGGACAACCATGATCAAAGCAGCAACAGTTGCAATACTCTGAGAGCGATGCTCTTGATTCTCAATGCCAGTCCCGGCAAAGCCCGAAGCCATCCCCCTGACAACCCCCAAACCCCTTGAGTCTTCGGGGTTGCCAGGGGCCAGGGTTCGCAGGCTCTGGATTTTGGGGGAGTTGTCGCTGACACGGGTTTCGGCCCAACACAAAACCAGGAGTCCAGGCTATTCGGGTCCAGATTGGCCACCAGTGTCACCACGTCGCCCGTGGTGAACTTGGAGCTGCAGGCAGGACTCGCTTTCCTGCGGCTTTGGGCGGTTGGGGCTTGCTCCTCAGAAAGGAGCGCTTCCTTCGTGTGTTCTTCCACTGCTTCGGAAACACCCCGTGCCATTCCATGCAATGTATCAAATCCTTCATGCGGGGAGTCTCAGAAGCCCAATAACGCTGGACCAAACAGGCAAAAACAGGGCAGAGCTCACCTCCGATCCCGGAAGAAGCCTTCCGAGTCAAAGCAGACCGAGTCCTGGTTCGGTCCAAATGAATAGTCAGAGCATTTTCATCTTGTCGAAGCGGCCACCGAATTTAAGCGTTACTTCGCCCAAGCTCCCGCCCATGGCCACTGTACCCTGCGCCTACCTTCTCGGTCCAAGTCAGGGCCACGGGCATAAGGGCCCCCTGACACCCTACAGCCAAGCCCCGACGCATCCCCCACTCGATCCGAGCACACACCCTAGCTTACCTCTGTCTCGCCAAGGATGAGGGAAGACATTGCGGTGGCCACGCCGATCCGCAGAACACTGCGTGGACCCATCATCCTGGCTCAAGTGCAGACATTGCTGCTCTGACAGCAAACTAGGAGCTCAAGAGCTGACCTGGATCGAGCAGTAGGATCTTCGTGGAAGCTGCTCTTCTCAAGGATCTTCACCTGAACCAAGTAACCCGAATGCTGCAGCTTGGCTGTGCGCTGCAGAAGGGAGCTAAGGATGAGGCCTCGAACATATAGCGACCGGACTTGAGCCCAATGTTGGATCGTGCCCCCGCTATGAGATACCTCAGTCCCGAAGGAAAAAGGTTACAATGGTTGGCTGAGCACGTGCCTAGAATCAATATGCAAGCTGACACATCCCACCAGCCACCCCGCTTGCCGCTGCTGGTTACAAGGCACCGTGACATTTAACAATGAAGTCACCAAAGCCGGAATGCTAAGCCCAGCACTGTAGACCCCCCTCTGACAGAGCGGTGAGCATGCTCCCTGAGGAGGACGGCACGACATTGAGGGTCGTGTCTTCCACGAGGAACGTGGGCGACTCCTGACGGAATCATCTCAATGAGACGTTTCCTCGTCTGCTTTTCCCTGATAGCCGCTTGCATCAGGCCTTGATCCGGGGAGCTTTGTCCAGAGACGCATCGACCTCCTCCTCCTGACAGCACCGTCGGAGGATGAAAGTTAGGGTGTTGGGATATACATGTCGAGCAGTGATCAGCATGGCTTCAAAGAAAAAACGTTTGGCGCTGCTGTCATCTAGGCAATCTAGGCTCGACCTTTCTCGCTTGCTACATGGCAGGAAGCATGCAGAGCACGGTGAAGATCAAGCACCACAACTGAATAGCAACAGGACAAAGAACTGTAGAAAGCCCAGCCAAGTGGATGACAACAACAGCTTCCCGACGCCCATCCCGGGAACCAGTTGCCACCTCGGTTTTGGCCTTCTTTGCTGGTGGCTCTTCCATGGCACTTTGGAGCGCAGGCTAAGCCTGTGCGAGTCACATATGACACAACTAGCTTGCGCTCCTGTGTGAGGTGAAGGATTGCATAAGGTGATACATGATAAAAAGCTCGGCTCTGGAACACACCCGTTACGATGCAGGCGGCACAAGCCTCCCTGATGTGGTGCATGATTCCCTCCTCGACTTCATTGAGGTGATGATCAGCAGCCGATTCTTCTTGTTCGAGTGTGTCGCACGAGTTGCACTTGTTGCCCTGCTAAGCCCACACTCTGGCAAACATGACTGAAGCTTCAGCGACAGCGCCACCACGCTTGCCGAACACTAGTTTTTAATCGCCTACTGCAAGGCCATGCCCAAGACATCGCTTGCAACATAGGAACTGAGGCTCTGAGACCCAACTGTCAAGTCAGAACCCATGACACAATATCACAAGCCGACGAAAAATCTCAACAGCTCACAGAAAAACAACGGTTCACAAGGGATCTTTTTGGTCGGATGCACAGCAATTCAGGTGAGACGGTGATGGCATCACTCGGAACTGGGCGGCGCCGCCCGGAAGTCCACGAGGATCGCCTGCAAAAAGCAATCTGCGCGCTTTCCGAGTTCTTCAATGTTCACACCACCACACCACCGATTCCCCTGACTTGTTTCCTGCCTGACCAGGCACATACAACCCGAAGACCGGGTAGATGGACTCCCAATGCTCCAACGTCTCGGGCAGGAATGAGGAAGCACCTGCACAGGAGGGAAGCTCGGATGCAGCGGTCGCGAGGCTTGGAAATCCTTTCTTGCAGCTGGGATGCCAATGCACGTGCCGTTGTGAAACCTGGGGAGGATTGAGATTAACGTGATTAGTGCCATGATGCTCTTGTTGTTGTTCATGCGATTGTCGCAATGGGTGCTATTCCTCTTCGTGCTGTGTTTGCGATCATTGCGACGATCGCTGCTATTGCTATCGTGGCCATGACTGTTGCTACTGGCTTTTTGCTAATGTAAACATTGGTACTACTAGTATGAATATTGCTAGTTTGCTATTGTGTCTTTAGTGTAGTATTCCTAGTATCGTTCCTACTGTCATTCTGTTCTTGTTGTTAGTACTGTATCTGTTCCAGTGTTGCTATTGTTGGCAGTATTGTTACTGGTAGTATTGTTACTACTGGTATTATTGTTAGAGACCGGGACGCTGTGGGAGTGCACTTTTTTCAATTTTGTTTAAAGATATTTCAAAAACACTCTCACAGCGCAGCCGTATTTTATATAAACACAATCACGAGTCATGCACAACATGCAAGTGCGCCAACACAAAGCAGCGATACAGTGTATGTCCTGTCCCCGTTTTCAAAATAAATTGGCCAACTTCATTGGAATCCTAGAAACAACAATAGGAATCCTCTATTTATATCCGTAGGAACCCTATTTTAAATAATCGGAGCCGTAAAGTCAATAGGAAGCCTCTTAACATGAATTGGAGACCCCTCACAAAAAGATGAGAATCCTCGTAGAATTAATCGGAATCCTATTAAACTGAAGAGGAACCCTACTACAATTAATACGAACCAATCGGACTCCTATAAAAAATCAGGCGAACCCTTAGAAATACTAAAATGAACATGAGCCTAAACCAATAGGAACCCCTTTAAAGTGAATGAGATCCCTATTAATATGAATACGAATCCCATTAACATGAACAAGAATCTGATGAAAATTGATAGGAATCTTATTACATGAGTAGGAGCCTTATTAAGATAATTAAGATCCTCTATTGAACTATCGGAACCGGATAACAGTTAATAGGACGGAAGCCTATTAAAATGAATAGGAACCGTTGACAAATCAAAAAGAACCCGGGTTACAATTCACAGGAATCCTATTAGAACGAGAAGGAATCTTACCAAAATGAATGGGAACCAATAGGCCTGCAAAACAATAGAATCCTTGTACAAGAACTAATAGGAACCCTGCTAAACTAATATGAGCCTAATCCTTAAAATTAATTAAAACCCTTTGCGAATCCCAGTAACATGAATAAGAACCCTGTTTAAATTGATAGGAACCTTATTACATTAGTAGGAGCCTTAGGGCGTGATGTCTTAAAATATGTTGCGAAGGTACAGTGTTTAATATAGATATTAGGTTTTGCTTATTGGGGATGATTGCTTGACTCATCCTAGCTAAGGTATAGTTTTTAGGATAGATGTCATGCCTTGCGTATTGGGGCGCGATTGATTATATGGAGGTTTTGGTACTCTCTCGAGATTTTGCAGGATTCGAGTTTGTTTTTTGGTACCTCCTCGAGAAATGGTGGCTGGGAGAGCGCCTCAGATCACGAAATTCATGGAAAACATTGGTTCTACCAATGTTGTTGAAAGATGGAGCCGAAAAACATTGGTAAAACCGACGTTTTCCAAAAATCCAGGATTTTCAAACCATGTAGCCGCGAGCACGAAATTCATGGATAACATTGGTTTTACCATTTTTTGAAGGATGGAGCCGAAAAAACGTCGGTACAGCCAATGTTTTCCAAAAAATCCATGCTTTTCAAACCATGTGGCTGGGAGCACGAAATTCATGGATAATATATCAATGTTCGTTACAAAAGGGCACTCAGAAATATAAAACACACATAAAACACAAATACCAAAAACAACTGTACAAAAAAAGCGTACAAAAATGAAATAACACCTAAAAGCCTAAAGAAAAACCAAAAAACAACCTTCAGAAGACACCGAAAAACCGTAAAAAAGAAAATGGTACAGCAAAATCTCCAATAATACACAAAAATCCTCGAAAAAACAAAAAACCAAAAAAATACAAAAACACCAAAAAAACAAAAAAACCAATCCTGAGAGACTCTTCCCAGGGGTCCGGCTCCCCAACAGAGTCCCTCAGGATTGGTTTTTTTGGTTTTTTTGGTTTGTTTGGTTTTTTTGGTTCTCTTGGACAAGAATCCCCAAAAAACCAAAAAACCAAAAAAACCAAAAAAACCAAAAAAACCAATCCTGAGAGACTCTTCCCAGGGGTCCGGCTCCCCAACAGAGTCCCTCAGGATTGGTTTTTTTGGTTTTTTTGGTTTTTTTGGTTCTCTTGGACTAGAATCCCCAAAAAACCAAAAACCCAAAACACCAAAAAACCAATCCTGAGAGACTCTTCCCAGGGGTCCGGCTCCCCAACAGAGTCCCTCAGGATTTTTTTTTTTTTTTTTTGGTTTTCTTGTTTCTTTTTTATTATTGTTGTTTGTAGGGATTTTGTGTAGTTTATTTCTTGTTGCACGTTTTTCGTATGTTTTTAGGGTTTTTTGAAGTTTTGCGTGTTTTTTTTTGTGGAAAAAGTGCACTCCCACAGCGTCCCATTTTCTATTGTTACTGGTTATTGTTACTGAGGTTCATATTCGTAGTGATTCTAGTTTTACTCTTCCAGCTATTCTCGTGTGTCCTAAACTCGCATGCCGCTAATCACTGGAGTTCCCAATCCTGATGCCCACAGCGTCCATCGACAGAGTCAGAGTCTACCTGGAGTATCCTTGGACAAAGTATCCCACAGAGCATCGAGTGCCCATATTGCAAGTGGTCCCTACAGGGCCCATCAAGCAGCTTAGGTTTAGGATGGAAATGTGTGAAGTGAGTGCTATGGTAACTTTACCTCTACCAGTACTGTGAATAGTTATTGGTTGCTGTCATTGTTGTTGGTTAGTTGTGATGATTAATGTCCACCTTATGATTAGAACACCGAACACAAGTAGAATAACCGCAACGCCCCCACCCACCACCAGCAAGTGCACAATCCTTCTCAGCCGGCCGAACCCGGCCTCTGCACTAATGTGAAGTACATTACTGCAAGCACGTAAACATTGCGGGCATGGTCGCTTTGCCCGTCCCAGTGGTTCCTGATCTTCTTTGTGCTTGTTTGGTGGCTGTATACTCAGAGTTTTGACCATGTCAAGACTTCTGAAGCCTGGAAAGCCTCATCACACTGATGCCCAGCGGCCACTGCAGCGACTTTGAGATCACGTCGTGGCGGACACCGATCCGCTCGCCCTGGTTTGTGGAAGGGGGGATCTTGGGAGCATTCTTTGATACGCCCTAGCCCCAAGGCTTCATGGACCACGACGTAATTTGATAACCAACGGGAGTCACAGCAATATCCCAGACCACAAAGCAGGGACGAACCGCCCCACTCTAAAGACAGTCAACACAATCAAAAACGAACAGGGGGGAGCGGGGGGGGGGTGGCCTCGCTGAGCTGGAGCCCAGGCTGCACGTCGTGGTCGCCCAGCGCATCGCCAAGCAGGCCGTTGTTGCTGTTGTAAAGAACACAGCACCTCAAGAGAATCATCTCTGGGGCCTTCCTGAAATAGGTACCTCAATTAGATATCCCCAATGTCAGCCTTCTTCAGGGGACATAAAAATATATACATATATATATATATCTATACATACATATGTATATTAATTTATTTAGTATTTATGTCTGTGTCCAATGTTTATTGATATTTGTGACATATGTAATTTTCATTCATGTATTTCTACGTGTTTACATAGTTTTCGATATTCATATCTTTTCTTTTCCAAGCCAAGAGGCTGCAGCCTGATGGAGTGGGTCTCGGGGCCTTGCGGAAGGTGGTTGCAAAGGCCCACGGCCAACCTCAGTCACATTAGCCCTCATGTGGCCCCCTGAAGAGGCCCTCAAGAAGCTGGGTTTAGGGTTTAGGGCTTAGGGTTTCGGGTTTAGGGTTTAGGTTTAGGGTTTAGGATGGTTTAGGGCCTCAAGTGGCCCTGCAGAATTCGCAGCAGCTGTACCCGAAGAAGCTGAGGCCTAGGCCCACCCCGTGCATCCGGGTTTGACAGGACCGTCACCTTGCACACGGAGACTGCGAACTTCAACGCAGTGGAAGTCGAGAATTTGCAAGAGAGAGTCTTGAATGCTGCATAAAATTCCTCCCAACAGATGTCGCAAGCCTCGAAGTAGGAGGCACTCGAGACCGGAAGCGGATGCTCAGCACCGATCACCTCCACCCCACGGCATGGCTGATGATGGGTCCACGGGCAGCTATGTAGATCGGCTGATGAGATAGACATGCCCATCCCACAGCCTCGCGAAGACCCCGAGCAGAACCCCCAAAACATCCCGAAAATCAGCTGTTACACTGTTTTGAGGCAAAGAAATCCTCCCCCAACCACCCATCGCAAACACCTACACTCCCCAGCTCCTTAAGCAAGGGAGGAAGTGTTGGGGCCTGCCAGCCCGGGTGTGTTGCTCGGACCACCTCCACCGTGGCCGGCTCCTGGCCCTGGGGTCTTCGCTTTTTCTGCAGAGTTGGGGGGCGGTTTGGGGAGTTTGGGTTTGGGCTTCTTTTGGTCTTTTGGGGGGGGGGGGGGGGGGGGGGGGTTGACACCTCTGATGCTGAAAGCAACGAACTCTCAACGCGTAAGAACTCCCGGGAGGCTGGCGTCCGGTGGCTGATCCGCCGCGGGCCGTGTGGCGATGTGAAGGGATGTTCCGTGCAGCGGGTTCATGCCTGGGTTGCTGCCGACAAGGAACCATGCAGCGTTCACCAGAAGCTGCATGCATTATCTTAGAACCATTACAGTGGCATGAAAAACGACCCACGCCAGACAGAGCAATGTAAACCTTCGGCTTAAGCTAAGCTAGGGCCATCGCGATTTGGCTTCAGGAAAGGCCACAGCTTCCACGCCTGAGGCAAGCTAAGAAATCGGAATCCCTTCCCTGTTTTAACGCGAAGCCCTGCCTCAGCCAAGAGCTCCATGTTCCGCCGCTGCACCACTGGCACCACTGGTAAAGGTGCATCTACACGCAGGCGCCGGTTTCGGAGATACTCGACAACGACACTGAAGCACCTCGAGCAGATTGATAGCTTCTTCGAAGCTGATCAACATAGGGCTGGAAATGAGCTAAGTGTAGTTGCCAGCTTGGCGCATTCTGTGAGACCTCACGAGCCTAGTGCCACATCTTGCTGCACAACATACACTTGCAGAAGAGCTCCAGCTGCAAACTGGGGCTTCATGAGGAGCAGGCTGGGGATTGAAGTCCAGGAAGAAGCGGCCTTCCTCATCGCGCGGGATTTCGTGGATAAAGGTGTCGCTGAACATCTCGGCGAGAACGCTGCCAGGAATACCACACCTAAGCCAAGGACACCACAGGGCGCACTTGCAAAATAGCGCAGAGCAACACGAAGGGCTGGATGAAAGTCTGGGTAACTGGCATGGTCTGCTTCGGGATTGTGAAGACTTGGCCAGAGCAATTGATCTGGATGACCTCTCTCAGCGCTTCTTTTTCGGATTGATATGCCAAGAGCAGAAAAATTATATTAAAGCGAAATGTACCAAAAAAAACCCTCCGGTTGCGCCTCTGTCTCCGTCCACATCTTTGACATGTCCTCTGCAACAGAACCAAGATTGCCGTAAAGCGCCCCTGCCACCCTGCAACTCAACACTGCATGAAGTGCTTCTGCAACACAGAACCCCCCACCACGACTTCAAACGCAGCTGAGTGCAAGCTGACCAGAGAGTTTTGCCAGCTGAGATTACCCCCTTATACACCCCCCCTTTACACCGCCCTTATGCCCCCTTCTACCCCCCTCATACCCCCGTTACTATACCCCCCAGTATACCCCTTCTGGAAAACAGAATGGACCTCAGGTCCATGCAGCCCCTGCTCCATGGCCAAGCAAGCAACCGGAGTGAGTGGGAGACCCTCTCATCAGAGTGCATCTTTTGCGACACCAAAAGAACAAAGCATGCCCTTCAAGAAAGCAAACGGAGCGAGTGGGGGGATCAGCGAACGTGGTAATCGTTCTCAAGAGGCACAATAGTGGGCATGTGCCAGATTGGACTTCGGTTATCGCAACCCCGAGGCCACTGACCGAAAGAACGGCAACAGCAAGGCAACTGTCCAACACACGTGGGGCGGAGGCCCCGCGGCAACAGCGCAGCGTGCCCATGCGATCCCATGCATGGCTGGGGTGGAGTCCGGAAGCCACGGCTGGGTGGCACGAAAGCCACTGGCAGGGTGCGAGGCAGCGTGATCAAGTGCGAGGCGAGGGCTTCGAGACACACGCAAGGCCCAGGGGCCACGGCCAACTGTTGGATTCCAGCCCCCGCTTCGGGCCTCAGAGCCTCAGCGTGCTAGACCTCTTGTGCCGGAACGTGACACGCAGTGCCTGTTTGCCTTCTGGCCCCTGAGTCTACATCAGCAGCCATGTGGACTACATGCCGATTCGTACAAACCACCTTCGGAATAAGCAAATTGCTGGCCCACCTCACTGAGCTTGTTGAGACGCTGCCATTCGGCATCAATCTTCAGCTTCTCCCGGTAGCACCATTCTTCCGTGTCCTGCCAGGCGGGGAGCTTGTCAAGCTTTACCAGGCATCACCTGTGCCTGGTTCCGACCAACTCCTGCTAACAATTAACACAGCCTCCCGAATCCGGCATCACGTAACGCCGTCGTCCTGCCGGAGCTTCTCAAGCTCCTCAGTTGTCTGATCTCGCTCCTGCACCAAGTTGCCGAACGGACAGGCCGAATGGTCTGAAGAATGGGGGTGGCAGAATGGGGTGTCCGTAGATTCCGTAGATTGCTTCAAGCACTTGTAACTTGTCCAAGCCGTCCAAGCCTCGGAGAGGCGTGCCCAGGAACCCCGAATCTGCTCCTGGCAGGCCATTCTCAGGCTACTCCTAGTTCAAGCGGCTTGACGGAGCAGCCTGACATGCCTAGGCGTAACAGCAGGTCTTCCCTAGGTTCTCGGTCCATATGAGCCCTAAACTCGAAACCCCAAACCCTAAACCCTATCCCTAAACCTCTGCAAGCTTGCGCTGGGCTGTAACAGATCCCGAGGTCCCGTTCTTGGTCCAACGATGCGAGGAGGCGCCGGAAGGATGACTCGATCAGCGCCTGCTAAGAAGTGGAGGACTTTGGACACGAGGTTCGTGAGAAATGTGTTCGTAAGCTCTCGCCAAACCCTCCCCCGAACTTGACTCCGATCCTCCGAACATCCCCCGAGCCCCCCGAATCAGAGATAGCGAGAGTCTCTGCGCACCTCAGGCGCATCGGGAAAGGCCTGAAAGAACGAGTCGCAGAGTCTGGGGGTCAAAGGAGTCAAGCATGCGACAAGCCAACTTGAGTTCGCGGCCGTCCGGCTCGCCTGCATATGTCTCCTGCGCTGCGGATGCTGCGACGCAGTGCGACCCAGCACACATGTACCAAACGAAGTGCATCTCAAGATCTCCCAAGGCCTGGCAGCGGCCCAACGGCCTCGTCAGCTTTCCCCTGTTTCGAGCCAAATATATGCGGGTCGGCGAGCTGTCCATAGGCAAAAAGAAAAAGAAAACAGTCTGTGCACAGGCTTGTTGAATGCAGGAGGTGGGCAGCTCAACTGCGTTGGAAAGCTCTGGAGCCCTGCAAATCCAAGATGCTGGACGCTCTGTTCCGCTCGATGTTGAAGCACACTCGACCGGGTGCGCTGGGCGTTAACAGCACCAGCAGAGCTGGTGGAAAGGAAGGAATGGAAGCGTCCCAGGCTGCGGAGGTCTTTGGCCACCGCAGCTCCAAGTCAGCCCCAAGTCAGCCCTTCGCCACCTTGGCCACCTGCAAAACAAGTTTTTTGACAGTTTTCTAAGGCAACTACTCTTTACCTACAGTGGACCTACAGCTTAGTAGAAACTACCCTTCATTAGTAGGTATGTCTATCGTCTGTCAAAGACGAGTCGAAGCACGGTCCCCGACGGGCCTTCCTTCTCTTGCGGGCTTTGCTTTGCTCCTGGGCTGCTCGCGGACGGAAAGAAAAAACGGCTACCTTGATTCATTCCCCCACATTCGCCCACATGGGGGCGTCGACCGGAAACATAAGCCGCTTTCTGGTATTGCAAGGAATATGCCAGAAGATCGACTACATCCATCACAGCTAAGCACCAGGCAAGCTCACCTTCCACTTTGGAGCGCTCGTTCTCGGCCCGGCCTCAGACGAAAGCCGTGCTTCAAATCCTGGTGTGTCCTTGGCCTGAAAGCCTTGCTGAAGTGGCAACTTCACCCCTTTGGATTCTGAGGCTGACTTAGTTAGTATAATGTGAGATGGCGTATTGTTCCAGAGCGCACTGAACCGCGATGTGTTGTTGTAGCTACATGCTGCGCTCAACTGCCATGACCTCCAGCCAGAGGGCGCTTGAGCCACTGCGCTCGTTGCTTTGCCAGAGGCGTGGCGTCTGCGGCAAGTACTAGCAGCTTCCCAGCAGGAGGCGGCTCCTTGTGAGCTCTCTTTGGTTCATGATCCTTATGAAATCCGCTCTTATCATAGGTCCCTCTATATTCAGGGTATGCCCAGAGAAAAAACAAATAGAGACCATTGACCGAATATGAAAATCAACAGCTTGCCTGGAGCTGCTCCCGGTACCGCTGTACCTCTTGGCTGCTCTGCTCCACGACGGCCAGCAGCGCTTTCAGCTGCTTCCGCAGAGTTTCGTTGCGGCAGTGCCTTTCCAACAGTCAATAAAGTGCACTCGCCGGGCATGTTTTCGTGACTAGAACGGGATGTATGGTACACGGCAAAAGCGCATCGGGAAGCGCGCAAGACGTCTGCAAGTTCAACTCGATGCCTTAGCGACTTGACTTGGGACCATCCCTAACCCCGTTCAGCTGCGCGACTTGCTTTGGCGCCGCAGGTGCAAGACCTGACCGTTGCAAAATTGTAAGTGGGGAACTGCACTAGTGGGGTTTTGGAAGCTGTTCACACATGTTCACGCCGCTCTCCTGCATGTTTCCGCTCATGACTTTTCTTGTTATGGTTCGTACTGCTGCTAAAATCCGCCGAGGCCTCGGGCCGGAGGTGTATAGGTTGTCAGAACAGGCACCCCCCTCCAAATCCTCCCCCCACACCCAAAACCATTTTTCGGACTCTTTTTTTGCCTCAAATGGGTACCCCCCTAGGAAACCGGGGTCCGCAAGCGGACGGTTCGCCAGGACCCCGACCCCCCCCCCTGCCCCCTACCCCCCCCCCTCCCCCTACCCCTACTCCCCCCACCCCTCCCCCTGCCTCTCCACAGAAAAATTTGGTGAGCGGGTTTTCGAGGCTGAACTGGTTGAGCACGGCCCAACATGCATTACACAAGCCGAAGAGTCTAAGCTTGACCTAAAACCCTAAACCTTACACCTTAAACCTTAAGCCCCGAAACACTCAACCCTCAAACCTTCAACAAACCCCCCTCCCCTACCCCCCCACCCCCCCCCCACTTCCCCCCTCCCCCCCCGCCCCCATTCCCCCCACCCCCCCTACCCTCCCTGAGGGGCCTGGCTCAACCCTACGACCAATCCAAGCCGAACCGTCTCTTGAACCCGAAACCCAAAAAAACCCTAAACCCCAAAGCGTGAACCTTGAGCCCTAAGCCCTCAATCCTAAACTAACCCTCAACCCTAAACCCCAAACCATAAGCCATAAACCCGGAACCCTAAACCCTAAACCCAACCCTTATTGCTTGGGGTCCAGCGACTTGGGCGCTGCGGAATCACCATGCTCACGCGGATGCGCTGGGCCGGGCCAAGGCGGCTAAGGTGCCATTCTTGCGTTTTTGTTCATGCTCTTGTTCGGGTTGTGATACTATTACTGTTATTCTCCGCCCTTAGTGTGGGGTTGTTCCCCACCCTCCGTGCGAAAAGTCTCCCTGGAGTGCCCAGCCCCAGAGTGTCTCCGGAGTGCCCAACCCCAGAGTCTGCCTGGAGTGCCCAACCCCAGAGTCTCCCTGGAGTGCCCGACCCCAAGAGGGAGTGCCCAACCGAGTCTCCGGAGTGCCCAACCGAGTGCCCGGAGTGCCCAGCCCCAGAAGAGTCTCCCTGGAGTGCCCAACCCCCGGAGTGCAGCCCCAGAGTCTCCCTGGAGTGCCCAACCCCAGAGTATCTCTACCAAGAGAGGGTGGGGATGTTCGAAGTAAAATAATGGTTCTTCGTCATTCTTCTTCTCCATGATTTTCAGGAATGTGGCTCGCTCCCTTCCCCTTCCCACACACAGATGCGCACCCCCTTTTGCGAGGAACTTGCGCCCACGGGGAAGTAGATGCCCCCCTAAGATACCCCTATGCCAGGGTCACCTGTCCACGATAGCGTTTAGGAAAACTACGAAGCACGAAGCCCCGGCCCCACGGCCGCTGTTGGGTACACCCCCAGACGCTCCATCGTTCCTGAACGTTGGGTGACAGCCCCCCCCCCACCCCCCACAAATTTGGCATTTCACACACGATTCTGCCTGGGTTCAAGTACCTTGATTTGGTTTCTCTCTCGATACTCTGCTCTTTCAATTTTTGTTCTTTCTTCCGTTACCTCGTCCTTTCTTTTTGTTCAGGGGGCCTTTAAGGCCCGAAGGCTGCTCGGAGGCCCACTTCGAGGACTGTTTTCAGATTCTTTCTTTCTGTCTTTCGTTGCGGCGTGGGTCTCTTCTTCTGTGAAAAAAATCAAGCATATGGAACGAGGGCGGGCATAGATTCAAAGGCACCAGGTAAAGCTTCCCTGCTGCATCTTGAATCTTGAACCCTAGATCCGCCCCTCGCAGAACCCAACACTAGAAGGTCTTAGCAATGGGGTTGAGACGGGGAGGGAGGGGTGGGGCACCATACGTATACATAGATATATATATATATATGTGTATATATATATATGTATACATACATATATATATATTTATTTATTTATTTATATACAAAATATAGATATAAAAATATATACATAAAATTATTTATTTATTTGTATATGTATATGTATATGTAATACATGTATACATATATGTGTATATACAATGTGTATACGTACACACATATGTACATATGCGCAAGATGCTTTCTAACGATTGCTTTCGACAAGCCACAACTGGCGCCGAGAGCTCCGGGAAGGAGGTTGAGCGGCTGAGAAGACCGAGGTGGTCTATGAAGAGGCCCTGCACAGGGACAGCTTAGGGGGCTTGGGGTTTAGGGTTTAGGGTTTTTAAGGTTTGTTGGGGGAGACCAATTCCACCAAGGGGCGCAAATCCTCTCTGCCACCATGACTAAGACTTCTTCCCGACCGGTCGAAAGGCGCAGCAGAACCTTCCAAGAATGCGGGGTTAGGGTTTAGGGTTTAAGGTTTAGGGGCAAGTTCTCTGTCGCACGGAATATCACAGAGCACGCAGCAACCAAGCCTCCATGTCGGGCGGCTTTCGTTCACCTGCCTCCGCTTCTTCGCCATCTGCAGGTTTGCAGGAGAAACTTGACATTTGCGAGCAACTGACCACACAACTACATTCGCAGACATCAGCAAAAGGGCTCCGGCCTGGATCCTCGGCCTTCGAGCCGAACTTCTTCCTCGACTCCAGCTGATGGTGGACAATGTCCAGGAGTTTCCTTTGCAAGTCGCATGTGCTGGAGTTGGGCAGAAGGGCTCCTCACATCCGACCCATATCCGACCCATACCTGACCCATACCCCAGCCCGCCAAGAGTCAGGAGGTGACTTGAAAGAGGCACCAGGACCTCGAGGCCCGCAGCCAGCCGGTTCAGGCAGGTGAGACCATGGCAGACGAAGGGGAAGCACTGGAGATTCGTGAGGCGGCTCCTCACCATGAGTTGCGGGGGCATCTTCGCAGCCCTTACGGAAGCCACGTAAGTGCAGCCAAAACTCTTCACCGCACCCAGGATCACCATGAAGAGGGGGTAAGCCAGCGGCTTCAGTGATGGCACCGAGGTCACGACTCTGGTCCAAAGATACATGGATCGGACAAACTGCCAGCTCATCAGCTCTTCCAGCGGCTTTGTCTTGACCTTTCGCCGAGGTGCTTCCTCTTCTTCGGCCTCGCACTTCCCCATCTTCTCCTTGCCAGCCTTCCCCTTGGCGGCTTTGTCTCTTTTGGCACGGCCCTTGGCCGCCTTGGCTTTAGCCTTAGCCTTGGCTGTCTTGGCCGTCTGTGCATTGATGCTGCCGCCTTTTGAGGAGGCCATGGAGGCGTTGCGAAGCAGAAGCGCCAGCTGCCGAATCCAGACGTAGCCTACGCGATAGGACGTAGCATCATCCAGACGGAAGAGCTCCAGAATGCAGTTCTCCTGAAGTACTGTCTGTTGCTTGGGCATGCTAAGGCAAGCTCAATGTTCCGAGAGAATCCGGGAACCAAGGACCCCGAACCGAATCACTGATGCTGTCCATGCCCTTGGGTTAAACTTGAAACACCACCTCCATCTCTCAAGCCCAGTGGCCATGAAGCGGAAGTTGGAAACCGACCGCCAGGTGTAGGTCCCCGCCGCTGCGCTGGCAAAGGACCGGAGGACTGTGCGGATCAGGGCCTGAGCAACGAGCGACTCAGAGATGGAGGCAAATGATGCAAACAAAATGGTCGGCAGGGCGACTGTAGGACGATCCCAAGATCAGCCGGTGGTGTTAGTAGGCCAGGCACTAGCTGGACCGAGTGTAACCTGCCCGCCCCCACCACAGTGCAAGTGCGCCTCCAGAGTTGGAATGCCCCTGATGTCTTTCGTTGACCCGGGCTTCAGCAGCAGCATGGCCGCGGCATTGCGCAGGAAGAGGAAGCTCAGAAGCCTGGGCAAGATGCGTGGAGCCCATGGAAGCACAGATGCTGGAACTTCTCATATCCAGAAAGAGTGACAAAAATGGTGGCGCTGGCGAGCTGCCGTACGCCCCCTGGAGAGGCTTCAGAGCCACCACTGGCCGGCCGGGCCCAGATGGCGCAGCAGCGGCGAAGGAAGCGGCGTCGCAGGTGCTGGCAGGGCCAAAGCCTGAGCCGAGGTTTAGCTCAGGCGTCTGGTTCTTTTGAGTCGGGCTGTTGGTTTGGAGCTTGGATGAGTTTGCCCTGTGCGGTCCTCTTTTTGCTGGCACCCTGCCAAGGGACCAGCAGAGCGCCTGCTGGCTGCTGCAAGTTCGCAGCACTGCCTCCTGCATCTCGACGGTGAGGCCCTAGCACAGCAACTTTTGTGAATGGGATGTTGCGTTTAACACCTTTGCCAATCCATCGAGCTTGGGTCCATCTATTCAGCTCTACCCTCAATCTCATGCGACATGGACTCACTGTGGAGGCTATAGTCGTGCATAGTCTTACCTAAGTCGGATTGCCTTGTTCAGTAGGATGAGCGTCTCATCCCAAAAGATGTTGCATAGCACCTGGAACTCATCAATCTGTCGCGAAATCAGGCAGTAACGTGATCATGAGAATCGAGACTAACGTTCGGATCGCCTTGACACGCTTCCATTTGGCCAGGCAGGTGGGATCGAAGTACCCGTTCCCGGCTTCGTCCTTCTGGACCTTCTTCTTCTTGCCTTTGCTGGCCTTTCGGACTGCGGGCGATGAGAAGGAAGACTCTTTCCATCGCGCAGCCCAGCCTGCAGCTCCTCACCCGCATAGTGCTTGAGGAGACCGAGGGCATTCCCCAGGCACCACTCCAGAACTTCGGAGAACGTGGCCTGAAAGCACTCAGGCTGTCTTGGAATCCAATCCCATTCCACAAGCCTAGCAGCCTGCGACAACAAAGCTTACAAACGGCTTGCAGCGCCTCAGAATCTGCAGAAGAAAGTTGGTGTACAGATGCATGTAGCGGGAATTGAGCCGGAACTTCTTGCCGATAAGACGTCCATCATCGACAAGTCTGAGAGCAGGAGCCCTCGATCTTCTCAACAGAAATCCCCACCACAACCTCAACAGTTGTTTACACCGGCAAGGCATGGAACAGAGCCTCATCCTCAATGGTCAGCGACCCGCGCGAGCGCTTTCTTTTAGGGGCCCGGCGCCTTCGGAAGGTGTAAGATCTTGGGTTTGGGCATGCTTCGCGTTTAGGGGTGCTACTGGAGTTTCAGGTCTGAGACAAGTCCAGGTGTCTGTACACTGTTCCGGCTCCTTGCTTCGGCAGATCCGACTGCTAAGGTGCCCCCCCCGGACACCTGCAACTTGTTGCCGAAGGTAACAACAAACCAACGTTTAACAGACCAGCTGTCATCGTCGCCGCACCACGGCGGCCATGTCACACTGCTACAACTGCTCGACACCATTCATCCGACTTTCATTTTCAAAACAAAACGCGCACCGGACAGACTGCAACCATGCCCTCCCGCCACTACAGTCAAACCCTTCCCCCCCCCTCCAGAATGACCTTTTAAAATTTTGGCTTTGGCTTGTTTTGATGCATTCCTTCAACAAGCCATGCCTCGCTGGCGCCTCCTCGTCCCCGTCCTTCGCCTGCACAGAAAGGTTTGGGGGCTCTGGTTCTCAGAGTCCTGGGAGCTCGCTCTAGCCGCCCTGTGTCCCAGAAGGCCCTCCTCCACGTCAGGATCAATGGATCGAACCGCAGTGTGGTAGGCGTTGAGAGCAGCCTGAACATGCAGCGAGAGCACAACTACCCGAAGCAAACAACAAAAGAGGCTCTCCTGCCTTGAAGGCCGTGAAGGCCTTTGGCGCTGAAAGCCTAAGCAGCTCTGGAAACATGGTTTGGAATTGTCTTGGATATCAAAAGACCGACCTCTCCTTGATCGGGAGACCTCTGGTGGTCAAGGCGCTCAATCTGCTTGAAGCGCTCCAACGTGAGTTGCCGTGCAGCGGCTGAAGAGGTGCTCACTGACTGCTCCTGCGGAATGATGTCGTCTAATCTTTCTTGGCAAGAAGCGGTCGGTGCTAGCGCATCTCGGAACCAACAAAAGGACCTGGGAACCACCTCAACGTGCTGTTGCGTACTGCTTGTTGGCATACAGGGTTGCAATTGCATGGACTGAGCTTGGAGCAACAAGCCAAGCTTGACAACAACGTTTCCATGAAGCAGCACGCTCCTGAACGAAGGCTCCGTCCACCTCGTCATCCTCCTGATCCTGCGTTTTGTGCAGCATGCACCAACACTCCAGGATGAAAATTTTGGAACCAGGGCTGACTCACTTAAAAGAACCGTGCTTGCACATGCGCTCAATTAGGGGTATCAATCTTTCTCACCTTCTCAACTAGCATCAACACCACCAGCAACCGTCACAGCAGGTGCGCTAGCAGCAGAGTGGCACAAGGACACAACACCGCCGAAACCAGCTTCATCAGATCACGGTGTCTACTACAGTTACTACAGCCCGATGCCTCCTCGACTGCTTCCTCTTCCTCACCGCCCTCCGAGCCCGCATCGACAGCATCGGCCGTGAAATCCAAGAGCTGCTGGTCCTGGGTGTGGGAGTGAAAAACTGGGAATGGGAACGGGCAGCTTCAAAAGCGTGCAATCACTCATGACGTTTGTGAGGACACTAAAAGGGTGTGTGTGTGTGTGTGTGTCGCAGTCAGGGCCTCCTCAACTAAAAACTTGTAGAACTCTGGATCCTTCTCCTGTCAGAATCAGAAATTGGCCGCAACTGCCGAAGGCTTGAGTCGCATCATGCTGAGCGCAGCCTTGATGGCTTGTAGTTCTTCAACATGACGTGCAGCTGCACCTGCCAAGTGATCAATTGAAGGTTTCGCGACATGGTTTCAACTGAAGTCGATGCATCACGAAAAATCCCAAACTGGCCTTTTTTGGGCGTTGGTTTTGCCGACTTCTTTCCTTTTGCTTGCACCTGGCCACCGAAACGAAAATCAAACCAAATGCGAATTGAATCAGCATCTGGTACAGTTCGATACCACCACCAGCACAAACTGCCTGTCACCACAAAACCTTAACCCGAAGAACTGCTCAACATCTCTCAAAGCACAACCTTGGTTGCCGAAGCAGCGAGTGATGTTTTCGTCCGCTTCGGCCTGCATGTACAATGTTGTGCTTTCGAGAGGCACACGAAGTGGAAACACCAGACCACAATTGACCATTCACTGAAGTGATCCAAAGTGGTACGTACCACAACGTCGAAACTTACTGCCGGATTGACAGACCGGCGTGAATGTGCCTGGAAGACTAGGCACACATACCCAGCACCCTTTATCCTCATACATGGGCATCACCGGGCTATTCACACTAACCGGGGCATGACATTGTTTGATCCTGCGGCTGCTGCGGCTGCTGCTGCTGTCACAATTAGCAATAAACTGCTGCCGTGGCATAATCATGCGAGTTATGCCAAACCACGTCAAGGCAATATGCAAGCCTGGCAGCACGCGGCATTGCCAAATTCTACGATCAACGCACATCTCAGCGCGCTTGAGCACCAATCCAATTCAATCATGCCGGCAAATGACTTGCTGAAACGGGAAACCGAAATCCATGTTAAATCCAGTAAGGCTGAAAAAAAATTCCATGCACCCGAAGCAGCAAAAAGGCTGAAAAAAATCTATGGGCGCAGAGTGGCCAAGGAACTTACAGTACTAAAGGTTGCACCAGCACAGGACCTTCAACAAGCGCAAAACATGTTGCATCATCCACTCTGAGCTTGCAGACCAAAATGATGACAGAACGCAAGGCCAGATGCCACTTGTTATTCACAGAATCAATGAAAAGGTCCACATGCAACACGCTGGTGCCACATATGCTTGTATTCACATATACAGCTGTGCAACCTCACCATATTGTTCACACACTTTTTCAGACAAAACAATGGTTCGTCACAGCGTTTGCACAAAACATGCATCGAAATTAATTTATTTAAGGTAGATAGCAGAGGGGCGTACATAGCATATAGATATAAATATAGATATCGATATAGATATAGATATAGATATAGATATAGACATAGACATAGATATAAAAACATATGTATACACATATACATATGTAAAAACATGTAGATACTAGACATGAATACAGATATAGACAGATTAAAATATAAATATGAATATAGATATAGATATAGATATAGATACAGATATAGATAGAGATACAGATATAGATATAGATATAGTACAGTTAGAGAAAGTTCCGGTGCCAAACAAGTTCACACTTTGCCGCCTTGCTGCCTGCTGTTCTAATTTTGGGGGAAGACTGACACAAGACTTAGACTGAGAGGCTTATTTGTTTTACTCGCAACGAGGAGCTGTGAAAGCCAGATCTGGCTTCCCGCGTGTGAAAAAAACGCCGCAACTAGGCCCAAAAATGGCTCCTAAACTTGGGTTCCAATTTAAGGCTCCAACCTGGGTGGCCTTGTATGTTCACACAGGAAATCCAAAATCTAGGGCCCGTTTTCGGTGCCCAGAATTGAGCTGCTTTTGGAACCCAATTTGAGTTCAATAATAATTGAAATCAACTCACAGACAAACAAGATTTTTGCTATTCGACACTGTTTGCATCAACACTCAAGAAAACAAAAAACGCCGTCGATACGCGTGTTCTTGGCTTTGCTAAACTTGTCTTTAGCTGGCATTCAAGGCAAAGCACTCTTGCATTGTTCGCGCGCGATCTTTCTCGCACTGTGGAGGTCACTTCGGCTTCCCTACCTTTTGGAGTTGATTTCTTGCCCTCTTTTTGTGTCTCCAAATCCACACACCTTTCACCACCCGCACACTTCCACATTTGAACAGCCAGCAGAACCCAGCCGACATACACGCAAATGCACACCACCCACTAAAGCCACTTTGCACCCACATCATGACACACACCACACTCCATGACACACCGACTCTCTGCCAAAACGCCGAAAACTACAACACACCACACCCATTCACAATGAAAAAACGAGGTAAACACACACAGACACTACTGCAAGGTCGCAAACCAACCCACTTTGGAACCACAAATGCTCACACACACACACATCCACAACACTCTTGCACATGCACACTTCGAAAAACAGCCGAAACCACAATGCACATTCTTATGGACATCTTAAGTTCCGATTGCAATTTTTTTCACTGTCTTTCTGGTCAATCAACAGCTTACCGGGCTGACAGCACTTACCAAAACACTTGTTGAACGATCTGTTTGTGTTTTGGTTCAGGGCGGTTTCAAAACTCTCTCTTTCTGAATGTTGCAACAATTGAACTGAGAAAACAAAAAGTGTTGCTGTGCATGAATCTACTGCTGAATCTGAAGAAAGCTCCAAGTTTCACAACACTGGCTTTCTAGTGTTTTCTTGATCTTCGCCCAGCCTCAATTTCCATTCCATTCGACTTTTTTTGACAAAGCTTGATTGCGTTCTCAGGCGGAGAGTGAAAATTAAAGCTCTTCTTAACTGGAAAGATGATCTTGGACGCTGCGACGCTTCTTCTGCAACAAGTAAAACTTTGGCAGACATTTAAAAGAAATTTTATGACGTGTGTTCCAAAATTTCTTTATCAAGAAACATCAACACACTTAAACTTAAGCTATAAGTGGGCAGGTCTTTTGCCAAATCTGAACAAGTTGGCAACAGAGCAACACCAACCAAAAGGAAGAACCCAGACCACAAAGCAAAAACGACCCGAGCCCACCGTCCTTCAATCATTCCGATCGCGACTGCAAAAATGAGTAGAATTCAATGCAACGTGGCGAATCGTCTTTGTGTGACGTACAACCATACGGGCGTAAAGCCAACATCAGCCAAACGACTTAAGACTTAAGCACGCTGTCCCTCACAGTTGAAACCAAACATGTGTGCTTTCACGACATACTCGCACTGATGTTACGCCAAGCCAATCCCACAGAAGAAAGTTGAAGTCTTACTTTCCAAGTTTCAAAGAACGATTAAAAACAAAACAAGATTTGAGGAAAGTGGAATTTGAAATCAATTCCTTCTCTCTTATACTCAAAATAAAATCAATGTTTCGCCCTCAAGCCTTTCTTTTTTCCAGCCCCGTTAAGCCCTTCCCCCTCCCTTCAAAAGCTCCTCTAAAGCCCCTGAAGCCGCAACCAAGCCCCCTCTCTGTGAAGGCAGTTTAAAAGACAAGCATGCATGCTGCTGCTAAGCAACAAGCTAGGGCTGAAAAAAACTCAACCGCTGCTGCTGACACCATCCGATTGCCGGCTTGCTGTGCATTCTGCCCAGTTCCGCGGCACTCTCTTTGGCACCATGATTGCCACTTTGCCTTGCAGCCCCTGCGCCCGTTTTACCAAACGCCTTTGGTGTCTGGTCAAACACTGCGTCTATCGTTCATTGTTGCCCCTTTCATGGCGCAGCAGAGTAGCTGGAGCAATGCAAGGCGTTTTCCAGATTTGTGCTTAGCGTCGACCAAAGATGTTATTTTCAGCTTTTTGCATGCAGCCAGAAGAGTTGTGCATTGCCAAGCAAGGAAAATGTAAACAACTGAAGCGACCAGTATAAGGTATCCAATCCGCTTATGGCGTCCTACTACTGCCAGGTTTTGAAGAGGCATTGAAATTTAAAAGAAGGTAAGACTGTTGCCTTAAGACCTGTTGCCGACAATCTGTTCTTGAGATTTGTGATCTGTTGCCTTAAGTGCTTCTTGGAAACACCCCGAAGTAAACCGTTCGAGACGTCCAAAAGTGACTAATTCAAACACTTGGAAAGACTTGTCTGAAACACTTTACTTGGAAATTGATTTATTTGAAACAATTTTTTGCTTGTTATTTGAAACTTGAAACTTATTTGAAACACTGGAAAGTGACTTGTTTGAAACACTGCTAAAGTGACTTATGTGACTTGAAGCAATTGACTTTTTTGGCTTCAAACAAGTTTGGAAGTTTTAAATGATCACTTTAGAAGTGTTTTTAATGTTTGAAAGTGTTAAATAAGTCACTTTCCAGTGTAACAGCTTTAGATAGAGGACATCTAACGCTGAGGCAACGCAACGGCGAATTTCACTTGCGTCCAAGCTGCCGGGCGCTTTTTCAACAAGTGCGTTGTCTATCGGGATGCGCTGGGTGAAAGAGCATTCTGAAGCGATTTATGGCACCCCAGGAAGGATGTCGAACATGCTGCGGTAGAATTGGACCTGATGGTTGCAAAGCTTAAGAACTTAAGCAACATAACCGCGTTGTAACCGCGTTGACCGCTGCAACTCCGGGCCTTTAAGGCAAGCCGCCGCTGACTAAGGTGGCTTTTTTCCATTGGATAAGCTTTGGGCCGCTTTTAAAAATAATTCGAAGGGTTGGATGGGTTTGACACGATTGGACACCCAATTGGACACCTGATTGTGCGTCCATTTCAACACCATGACATGTCTGGGTTTCGAGCTCAAGATTGCACTTTGCCAGAGATTTGAGTTGTGGGCTTGTGTTGGCCTTGTAGTGGACATCAGATTAACCGACAAACTGAGGCTTGCTACGCATCACTGGCGAGAGGCTGGCGCACGATGGCAGACAGCATGATGCCAGCGAATGTCTGCTTTCCAACTCCAGAGATCGCCGCTGTGACCTCAACGATCGTGGTCCCGTACAAGGGTTCTGGCCTGTATCTGTTTGGTGTGTGCGATACAACCTTTGCTCTGGCAGCATCTTCAAAGATGACCGCATGATTGACCTCCCTGTCAGGTTGATATGCCATGCTTTCAGGGCATTTCAGAGCCTGAGCTGATTTGGAGACCTTGTCGACTAAGTGCTATCATATATCGGACGGCTTTGATTCAGTCTGAGATGGGCGTAGCTCGGTTTTCTGCACAGATGATC